TGCCACCCAGAGATGCAAAGGGAGATGGGGGCATGAAGAGGCCCCAAGGGCTCCTGGGGACTGCACTAAGGAACTGGGTTGGTCTGGATGCAAAGGATCAGGAAGCCAAGAGGTCAGCCCTGGTGTCCAGGAAAGAGGCTGGCTGGTTGTACAGCCCAGGGAATCAGAGGTAGGTGAGGGCAGGACCAGGCTCAGTGGGCTCCTGGGGACCGTTAGAAGGCTGGGTTCCTCTGGATGCAAGGGATCAGAAGCAGTGGTGGTTCCAGGCCAAAAGGTCAGCTTGGGTATCCAGGAAAGAGGCTGGCAGGTTGTACAGACCCAGGGAGGCAGAGGGAGGTGAGGGCAGGGCCAGGCCCAGAGTGCTCCTGGGGACTGTGAGAGGGAACTGGGTTGGTCTGGATGCAAAGGATCAGGAAGCAGTGTTTTCTCCGGTGTCTGGGGTGCCAAGCACCCAGGCTAGGAGGAGAGACAGGCGGGGAATATGGGAGGGTGAATGAGGCTGGGGGAGTCAAGGCCCTGAGTGCATGTTTGACTTACCCAGGAGAGAGGCCGGCGGGTGGTGCAGGCCCAGGGAAGCAGAGGAAGGTGAGGGTGTCATGGTTTTTAAGATGGAAAAGAGAATGGGGAAGGCCTCTGTGGTGGTTAATCTTGTCACCTTAATGCATTTAGATTCATCCTGGAAACACACCAGCTGAGTGGGTCCATGAGAGGTTTCCAGAAAAGTATAGGAGCAGGGACAACCCATCCATGAGCTGGGGCCCTGGACTGAATAAAAAGGAGAAAGCTAGCTGAGCATCAGCATTCATCTCTCTGCTTCCTGACTGTGGGTACAATGTGACCAGATGCCTCAGTTCCTATCACCATGCCTTCCCCCACCATGACTCACTGCATCCTTAACTGTGAGCCACAATAAACCTTCCCTTCATTAAGTTGCTTCATGTCAGGCATTTTGTCACAGTAACAAGAAAAGTAACTAGTATGGTGACTTGGATTCCCAGGAGACATTATTAAGTGAAAAAAGCAAATAGACACCTAGGATGCCACTTTCTGTGTATGAAAGAGAGGAAAATAAGAAAACACATGTATTATACTTAGCATTATGAAGAGAAACACAGGAAGGACCCCTATAAAAAAAGCAGGTTTCCTCTCCTGGTAAGGGATGAGGTGGAAAGGAGGTGGAGGGAGAGATACTTCCCTGAGGACGCCTTTTTGTGTAGTTCTGAATTTGGAAAACATTGAGAAAATAAATTTGATTCAATAAAAGAGGAGAATTAAGAAACTGAAAGGATGGGCTTCAGAGATGGCTCAGCAGTTAAGAGCACTGGCTGCTATTGTGGAGGATCCAGGTTCTGTTCCCAGTACCCACATGGAGGCTAACAAACATCCATGTTCTAGGGAATCTGACACTCCCTTCTCACTTCTGCAGGCATTGCATGTCAATGGGTGCACTTACATATATGCAGGCAATACACTCATACACATAAAATAAAAATAAGAAACCAAAAGGAAATGTAAACAGATGATTCCATAATCATGATAGAGGGGAAGAAAGAAAAAGGAGAGGGATTGGAGAGATGGCTCAGTGGTTAATAGAGTGTGCTGCTCTTCCAGAGGACCTGAGTTTGGTTCCCAGCAGTTACATCAGATGGCTCACAGCCACCTGTAACTCCAGCTCCAGAGGATCCAATGCCTTCTTCTGGCCTCTGTGAGTATCCACACACATGTGTACATGTATACAGATAGACAGACACATGAAGACACATTAAAAAATCTTTTAAAAGGGCTGGAGAGATGGCTCAGGGATATCTTGCATAGGACATTCTGTTCATTTCCTAGCACTCAGGTTGGGTGGCTCACCACTGCCCACAACTCCTATTCCAGGGGATCAGTGCACTCTTCTGACCTCCACAGGTACCTTCACTCATGTGAACATACCCACACCCACACAATACACATGTAATTAAAAATCAAATAATTTTTAAAAAAGAAAGTCAAGTGGTGGGGGGGAATACTGAGCTAAATCCTTAGCCCATCCTTCATATTGTTATCCCTTTTCTTCTGCTGTGAGAACTCTGTATTCTGAAACAAACAGGCTCAACAGAGCATTCAAGAATGATGGAAGTGCTTTCATTCATATGGTCTTCATGTTTAATAAATGACTTTTTAAGGCCAAGGCCAACTGACTTCTGGGTGAAAGGATAGCCTTGGGAGACTTTGCCAATGATATTTTTTTGGACAATGATTTGCATTTGCTGGGCCTAGTTTACTGATTACATGAATCAATTTTATTTTTCTAGGGTGTGGGTAAACCTAAGGCTTTGCACATGCCAGGCAAGAACTTCACTCCCCAGTTATGCCCCTAGCCCCTACATGGGTGTAACGGTTGGCTGTAATAGTCAGTTTGACACAAATTAGAATCACCTGGGAAGAGTCTCAATGAGGGATTATCTACATCCGGCTGGCCTGTGGGCATGTCTTATTAGTTGATGCAGGAAGACCCACTTTGGGTGACACCATTCCTTAGGCAGGGGATCCTGAACAGTATAAAAGAGGAGAGAGCAAGCTGAACAGTTCACAAGCAAGCAATCCATGATCCATGTATTTATTCTCTCTGCTCTTCACTGTGATGTGATGCTTTAAGCTCCTGCCTTGACTTCCCTACCATAATGGACTGTAACCTGGAATTGTGAACCAAATAAACCTTATCTTCCCTAAGTTGCTTTTTGTCAGGATATTTTAATCAAGCAACAAAATAGAAACTACGACAATGGGTCAAGTTGAATGTGGTCCTGCAAAATGAGTCTGTTTGGGGGTGATGGTGCCATCTAGTGGTAAGAGAGTGATTGCAAGGTTTGGTGAGCTCAGTGAAAGGTAGAAGAGCTACCCAAAAGCAGTCATCAGACAGGATCATCATGTTGCCATTTAATTCCAAAATTCTCAACAGCTCAGTGATGATGTGTTTTCATCCCTGTTTCACAGTGAGGAAGATACTGTCCAGATATGGCTCAGTAAAGTGTGTGACTTGCAAATATGAGGACTCGAGTTCCATCTACAGAACCCACTAAAAAAGCTGGGTGTGGCAGAGACTATAGGATCACTGGGGTCAAATCAGCTAACCTCAGTGCCAATGAAAGACCACATCTCAAACAAGACAAAGCAAAAAGTGGACAGCTCCTGAAGAATGGCACTTGAGATTGTCCTCTCACCTCCTCAAGCATGTGCACATAGTGCATGTACACAAACAACCCCCACCCCCACACATATGCATACACATGCACAAAAGTAGACAGGCACAGATATTTCAACAGAATTGTATGACCAGTTCTCTGTGCTGAAGCACTGCTAATTAGCCACCATGACATTAGTTTCTTGATTAAGATTGTGGGGTTGCTCCCTCTCCTCGTGAGTCATTGGCCACTGCTCCACGAGGACAAAGGGAGCAGAAGCGACGAGCGGGGTCAGGAAGGCCAGTGAGTACTGACGGAAGAAAGCCCTTCCAGGGAGGCAGGTTCAATGATGCAAACAGCTCCAGACTCTTCAGTGAAACAGCTCCGTTTATTCAGTGGGGGTCAGGGAAAATACAGTGTGGAGGCAGCAGCCAATGCTTCAGCTGATAGGTGCTCATAGCATGCTTTATTTACATGTGGCAGTAGGCTCCTATCGTCCGACTACCAGGCTATGCCTGATTATCATATAGAAAAAACCTGGGGGTAGTTTTTACTCCAGGTAACTATGCCAAAGGTCATGTTCCAAATAAGGTCAGGCATCCGTGCTTGGCGGCACTTTCCAGGTAAGTCAGGCAGAGAGCAGGAGGGCCCCTGCTGAGAAGGGGAGTACTTCCATATGGAGCAGAGCCCCTTAGAGCTATCTGGACATGGAGGACTACAACCCTAGCAGCAGGGTTCCCCAACATAAGATAAATTCAAAACATGAAAATCAGCTAGACATCATCGTATCTTTCTGGCATACAAGCCTTCCCTCATACTTTGAAAGTATAATTTGAAAGTGTGATTTTTGTCAGTGTTGGCCATTAGCTTCTGGGCTCTCAAACAGTGCAAACATACCCTGTGGGGACAGCAGATGCCAAGGCTTACCTCTGGGCAGTCTCCAGCTTAGAGGGGTCAGGCAAGGAGGAGAACACCTGGGACTGGAACGTCTTCCAGTTCATGATTCCAGGAATTATGTCCTGTAATGAAAGTTGGTTCAGGGGCAGGACAAGGAAAGAAAGTGTTAGGTGGCAAGAGTTCATATGGACCATCAGCTTGACAGGATCCAGAATCATAGATGAGACAAACCTCTTATTTGGCATGCCTGTGAAGGAGTTTTTCAATATTGGGTTAATTGAGGTAGGAAGACCTACCCTAAATGTGGGCGGCACCATTCCATGATCTGGGGTCCTGGACTGCATAAAGAAAAAGTGAGCTGAGCACCAGCATTCCTCTCTCTCAGATTCCTGACTGTGGATGCAATGCGACCAGCTGCCTCCTGCTCCCGCCACCATGCCTTCTACACCATGATGGAATTTACCCTCAGACTGTGAGCCAAAATAAACCTTTCTTTCCTTAGGTTGCTTTTGCCAGGTATTTTGTCACAGCAATGAGAAAAGTAATTAACAACGGGGGTAGAGTCTGGGGGAGGTGCTTAATTTCATTCAGTTGACTATTTTTAAATTCCAAAAGGTTAGAGCCAAAATGTATCATTTCATAAAGTCTGACTGACTTTTTCTAAAGCAAAAAGGCGGTTGCTTCAGTATAGGGGGCTCAGTAATGCATAATATGGCTGTGATGGAGGGTAGGTATGGCCTTATGATCTGTTTGGGTGATTGTGGAAGCAATGCTAGCACAACATTCAAAGAGGATGGGCAGTTTGTCAAATGGCACATGGGCCTGGCCATATGACAGAGAGCTATTAGGTGACCATCACCTCAACAGAGTGCAGGGCATGTGCTGGGGATAGGGGTACCTGTGGCTGGAGAGGTAGGCAAATCACCAAGGTCCTTGAGGGCAAGCCTAGTGGAGCCACTCTGAAGGCAATGGATGCCTGTGGAGGGTGTGTGTGTGTGTGTGTGTGTGTGTGTGTGAAGGTCAATGTCCCTGTCTTCCTCAATTATTTCTTCACTTAATTTTTTGAGACAGGGTCTTCCACGGTACCTGGAGTCTGCTGATTAGGCTAGACTGGCTGGCCAATGATCTTCAGGAATCTACCTGTCTCCACCTTACAGGTCCATGCCACCATGCTTGAATTTATGTGGGTGCTATTGACTAAGCTATCTCCCCAGTCCCCTGATCCCAGCCCAATGAAGTTTTTCAAGCTAGATAGGATTTGTGTCAAAGGAAACTTTCTATGGTATTCCAAGTGTTGTAGCAGTTATGGGCCACAGTGGAGAGAGGGAGTTGTAGTCATGTAAGAGGAAGATGATGGGACATGGGGATGGAGATCATGGATCATGTGAGTTCTGTGTATCATGCTTGGGATAAAAAACACAAGTGACCAATGTTTCTACATTTGTAGGGGCCAAAGTTAAGAGGAAGTCAGAGTGCATGATATAGTACCACATAGCTATTTTCATATGGTTGAAATATGAATGAGTAAGCATTTCCCCTTTAGGGTGAAATGAGTGAGGGTGTTTTGGTAAAAGAGCAGCAGGTAGTCAGAGAAGTGGGTAGACAGAGGACCAGGGTGACACTGAGGGAGTCCTGTCCCCATTCCTAGCTGGCCATGCAAGGAACATGGTCACCATTCTTAGTCTATGACTGTGACTACAAGTCTTTATTTTTAAATTGTAGTGTGTGTGTGTGTGTGTGTGTGTGTGTGTGTGTGTGTGTGTACTCATACACGTGTTACAGTGTACACATGGAAGTCAGAGAACAACTTGCTAGAGTCAGTTCTCTCCTACCATGTGGGCTCAGAGGTTGTACTTGGGTCATCAGGCTTGGCAGCAAGCACCTTGATCCACTGAGCCATCTCACCAGCCCAGTCTTCTTTTACTCAATCCCAGATGTCGCTCTCCCCACACCCCACCTCTCCCCATAGCCTAAGGCCAGCTCTGCTAAGGGAGCCTGGTGTTACATTACCGTATGATGGAGAAACTGCTTTTGGGTGAGGGGAATGCTGGATCCTAGGTGGGTCTCTTGGGTGAACTTGTACTTGGGGTGAGAGCACAGGTGGTAATCTATTAGCGTTTCTGCATAAGCCAGAGGATGCTTCACAGCAAACAGTCCTGGGCTGGGATTCTGCAGAAGAGAGGAAGATGAGGTGGATGATGTTCCCACCCCAGACCCAGGCTGGATGTCGCTCTCTGTGGCTCCCACTAGCACTAGCCTTAGCCCTGGGAACACAGGTCAACTCTTCTAGCAAACATGGCCTGAGAGCAGAACTTCTTCAAGTTGACCCGTTTTTTCCAACATTACCATCTTCATAAATGAATTTTCTGGTTTATGAGCTTCTTTACATGCTGTTCAGATTTACTGACCTCACAGAATGACATGAGGAACTGAAATCACAGCTCGAAATGGCTCAGTGTTTACTTTTAACCAAGATGTACAATGGAGTTATTAAATAAGCAAACTGGTTTTAGAAAACAAATTAGGTTCCTTGTTTGTCTTAGTTTCTTTTCCTGTTGCTGTGATAAAATATTATGACTAAAAGCAACTTAAGGGTAAAAGGGTTTCTTCTGGCTCACTTCAGGGGAACAGTCCATCATGGTGGGGAAGGCAAGGGGCTAAAAGCAGTTTGTTACATTGCATCCGCAGTCAGAAAAAGAAGAGTGGAGAATGCTAGTGCTCAGCGTGCTTTCTCCATTGTACACAGTACAGGATCCCCTGGCATAGAATGGTTTCCCCCGACAAGTAAGATGGATCTTCCCACATCAGTTAAGCCATCAAGATAATCCCCCACAGGCATGTCTACCAGGTGACATTCAACATTAATCATAACAGGGTCTGAAACAAAAATAATCTCTCTTTAAAGAGAAGACAAAGAAAGAGTCAGTGGTTGATATACCGAAAATATCAACATTTAATATTGTTGGGTTATGTTTTTAATTCTGGAAGGTTCCTTTGGCACATGGAATCTGATGTTAAAGGTGATTTTAATTTCTTTTTAAAAGACATTCCCAGAAGTTATTTGTACATAGCATACTGCTATTATTAGTTTGAATATATTGCATAATTTGAATTTTTGGAAACTTTAGATGTTCTGTCAAGTTTGGGGGGGACTATTCCAGCTTACCAGGTTGAGTTGGCATTGCTCAAAAAATTAACAGCCCTATTCATTTAGAAATATTAAACTCAATTTTTCCATTTGTATAGGGGTAGGCAACATATTGCATTAAAAATATAAGAAGTCCAAGAGTAAAAACAAATCAGTTTATCTGGTCCAATTGTATGTCCTTAAACACCCAAAAGGGAAGTATAACCAAAGATTAAAGGGG